AAAGAACACATGCATCTCAACAAGAAAAAAACTAACAACCCAATTAAAAAATGGGCAAAAGACCTGAACAGACATTTCTCCAAAGAAGATACACAGATGGCCAACAGGCACATGAAAAGATGTTCAACATCATTAATTATCAAAGAAATGCAAATCAAAACTACAATGAGATATCACCTCACGTCCGTCATAAAGGCTATAATTAACAAGACAGGAAACAACAAGTGTTGGAGAGGATGTGGAGAGAAGGGAACCCTCATACACTGCTGGTGGGAGTGCAAACTGGTGCAGCCACTATGGAAAACAGTATGGAGATTCCTCAAAAAATTAAGGATAGAACTACCATATGATCCAGCTGTTCCACTGCTGGGTATTTATCAAAAGAATGTGAAAACACCAATGCTTAAAGATACATGCACCCCTCTGTTCATTGCAGCGTTATTCACAACAGCCAAGATGAGGAAGCAACCTAAGTGCCCATTGAGGGAAGAATGGATAAAGAAGATGTGGTATATACACAACGGAATACTACTCAGCCATAAGAAATGATGAAATCCAGCCATTTGTGACCACATGGGTGGACATTGAGGGTATTATGCAAAGTGAAATAAGTCAGAGGGAGAGGGTCAAATACCGTATGATCTCACTCACTAAGTAGTAGATAATAACAACAACAAACAAACACATAGAGACAGAGATTGGATTGGTGGTTACCAGAGGGGAAGGGGGGAAGAAGGAGGGTGAAAGGGATAATTAGGCACATGTGTGTGGTGATGGATTGTAATTAGTATTTGGGTGGTGAACATGAGAACATGATGTAATCTATGCAGAAATAGAAGCATAACGATGTACACCTGAAATTTATGCAATGTTATAAACCAATGTTACCACAATAAACCAAAAAATAAAATTTCTGTGGGAGAGTTTTATTGACGGTAGAAAGAGCAGTTATAAACAAATTGAAATGACAAAGGGAGATTTTATCCACTGCTATGGCAGGGCCACGTAGTCTGTCCATTCTCTAAAATACTTCCTTTCTTTCCACAGTGTATATGACCTTGGATGTCGACTCAGTCAACAGCAACCTCCTGATTTCTGATGACACGAGGAACATCCAATGTGGGCATCTCAAACAGATGCCCAAGGGTGTGCTGAGACTCAGCGAACCCTTATGTGTCCTAGGCTCCCTCCGTTCACCTCTGGCCAACATTACTGGGAGGTAGACGTGGGAACAAACAAAGAATAAGATCTAGATGTGTGCAAAGAATCCATTACTAGGTAGGGAAAGGTCACACTCTGCAGAACCTGGATTCTGGACTGTGAGAGTTTGAGAAATGGGAAGCACTTCTCGGCCAACAATACACCTGGAATAACATCTGCATGGACCTAAAAGTGCAATTAATAGGTATTTTTTCTGGATTTGGACATTGGAAATCTTGCTTTTTTTGACATTATCACTGGATTCCATATCTTCACACTTGTCCATATTTTATCTTCTGAGCCACTATGCCCATTTTTGCTCTTTCAGACTAACTAATGGTGATGAAGTCTCCCTAAATAACTGTTCCCTGAAAAATCTAGGCACTGCAATTCCTCCAAAAAATCCTGGAGATCAAAAATGTCTTTCTGTACTTTAAAAATGAACATATGAATAAATCATAGGTCCTTGTGGCTAATGAAATTTCCATGTTCACATGTTTTAAAATGTTAGAGCACAAAAATGTGGATCATTTTATAGACTATAAATTAGAATTTAATAATATAAAACTAATGTTTACATATTACATCATGAGTATTGAGTATTGGAATTGACATATTTTGGGGACTTTGGTTAAGTTTGGGATCTAAGTACCTAAGTTAATACTTAGATCTCTTTCCTGAACTTTCAATGTGACTTCAAGTATTCTTGTTTGCATGATGTTCTCTTAACATTTACCTTACCTGTTACTGAATTCATGAAATAAACATGATGAACAATCCCACTGATGATGTGGTTGAGTAAATGTTAGGAGCACAAGATCTCACGTAGCCCAGAGATACATTTGTATGCTCTGATGAAAAGCATAAACAAATTGCTGATTTGTTACAGTCACTATAGTGACACAATTTCCCCAATGATCCTGCACCTGTGCTCGTCTAGGTCAACAGCAACTATTTAGGATCTACAGATGTTGTTATCTTGCCTGTGCTAACATCTGATGTGGTCAGAGCTGATTACTGTTGGAGATAGTATTTGGTGTCAGTCGTAGATACTCATTATCCAAGTCATTTCCTTGTGCCACAGATATGGTGATCTCTACGTAATCTTTCCTCTAAAGGGATCATTGGTGTTTAAACTTGTGGAAACTCTCAACAGCTAAAACTGCAAGAATCAGGCATTAACTAAGAGGAATTTCAGCGCTTCTGGTTCCAGTAAAAATTTATGTGGAATCAAGAGAGACCCTGCCTATCACAGCCACGTGAAAATGCTGCAGAAATATAACCTGTCTATAGGTGGTTCAAAGTGGCACAACCTATAGAGATGGGAAAGTGCAGGACACAGGAGTGAATGAAAATCAGAGCAGTAACTGTCATGGCCTTGGATGGCACATGTCGGGTCTGAAATGAACTGCCACCAAAGACAACTTTGAGGCTGAGGTAAAGTGGATCCTTCTGGATCTAGTCACATGAAAATGCCAGAAAGATTAGAAAAAGAACAATAAAACTTTTTTTTCCTATGATGGTGACCAAATCATGATATTCTAATATCATCATTCCTCCTACATTGACTAGTTTCTACCAGACCCATCCATCTTTGAATCCTGGCTCTGTCACTCCAGCTGTGCAATCTTGAGAAATGAAAGGAAGGAAAGAGACGAAAGGTCAACCCTGCATTTTGTATCCAGAGAGAAAGATCTTCAGAAATTAGGGTGACACCTCCTTCTTCTCTGTGTCCTTCTTTTCTCTCTTCATAATTTCTTGTCATTTCCTCCCTCTCTCAGGCCCCGATGGAGCTGGCATAGCTGCAGAGACACATTGGTAGTGGAATGGGACCCCCCTAGAGTGCAAGGCAGCGAGGGTGGAAGTGGGCAAAGCAGCCATGTTGTTGTGTGTTTTTGTCACTACCAACCCAGAGAAGTGGGTGGTGGGGAGGTAGGGGAGCCATGTGAAGGGACAGTAGCAGCAATCCTGCATCACACGAGGGCATTGGGGGGATAGGGATGTGGAGGAGACCGGCAATGTTGATAGGAGATTGGAATCCGTGATATTGTAAGTAAATGTTTGAACAAATAGTAAGTATATTGAGCTAAGTGTAGCACAAGTTTCTCATTTTTGGAGGAAATATTTATAAGTGTGGAACAGGGAAAGTCTAGAAGGAGTTACGGGTGGGTTTTGAATTGGGGGAAGTGTGTATAACTCATAATTGATTACATAAGTGTATGTGTGTAGGCACAGACATACAGAAGGATGTAGATGTGTGTATTTGTGTGCGTGTACGAAAGCTAAATAACCATGAGCTCTTTTTGCTGACGGGTCCCAGAAGCAATGACATACGGTTAGGATTGTGCAAAACTAATAGCAAATCTTGGTTTCTAAAGACTGATCTCCACTTGAAGGAATCGATATTCTTTGGTGAAATGGTGGATGCCAGGGCTGCATCTGGAACAGCACAAGATGAGCCTACAACAATTCCTATTGTTAAATTATAGTAGTTTTAGTGATTTTCCACTGGTCAAATCTGGAACAACACGGGCATGAAAACAGAAAGTGGTTGTATCAGAATGCATCCCATTGAATCATATAGGAATTTAGGAGTACATTTGATATGAATAAAAATGAGTGAATGAATGATTTAGGAAACTCTTGGAGCGAAGGGAAAATTCCTCCTTCAGTAGACTCCTACTAATAAGTGTCCAGAGCTTATGTAAGACAATTGTCATATTGTTGGTTGATTCAGGTGGGAGTTATGATAGGGGCTAAGGTGGGTTAGTGTAGGGGTGATGAGGAAGAGCATATTAGAACAGTCTCAGCATATCACCCTCATAACGTACTCATTGGTTACAAACACCAAATGGTAATTGTGAGAAGGAGAGATCTGGCAGATGTCAACCTGACCAGGTTACCAAGGTGACCTGGTTGTCTATCACACCACTGTTGTGATAGATAGACATAGTGTGTCCCCCAGTGTGAAGCACTGAGAAGAACACAGCACCATTTCTTTCTTTTCCCCAGCTTTATTGAGATATTATTGACATACAAGATATGTAAGTTTAAAGTGTACAGCATGATGCTTTGATATATGTACATATTGTGAAATGGTTACCATGAAAGGTAAACACTTCCATCCCCTCACAAAATTATCTTTGTGTGTATGAGGTGATAACATTCAAGATCTACTCTCCTAACAACTTTCCAGTACATAATATTGTTAATTATAGTCACCATGATGTATATTAGATCCCCACAACTTATTCACTTCATACTTGGGAATTTAGTACACTTTGACCAACATCTCCCCATTTTCCCACCTTCTAGTCCCTGGAACAACTATTCCACTCACTGTTTTATGAGTTAGGCTTTTAAGTTTCCACATGTAAGTGAGATCACATAGTATTATTCTTTCTCTGTCTGACTTATTTCACTTAGTATAATGCCTTCAAGGTCCATCCATGTTGTCTCAAAAGGCAGGACTCCTGTCTTTTGATGGCTGAGTCATATTCCATTGTATATATACACATTTTCTTTTATCCATTTATCCATTGTTGGACACTTAGGTTTTTTTCATATCCTGGTTATTGTGAATAATGCTGCAATGAACATGGAGATGCAGATAACTCTTTGAGATGGTGATTACAAAATCATTCTGCCAAGGAAGTGTAAACTGAGTCTGGTCATGAGGAAACATCAGAGACACCCGGGAGGGTCATTATATAGAACCTATTGTATAGGTTGAGGATATGAAAGAAAAGAAATGACACAGGAACAGTTTGAAATTGGAGCAGAAAGAAGAGGAAAACAAGTCAATGCAATACATATTCCTGGTTGGGATCCTCAACCAGGAAAGAAAAGGAGATATTTTTGATCAGTTGGAAAATTTGAACAGGACCTGTGGATAGAGAGTAGAGTTGTATTTACACTGCTTTTCTAATTGAAAGATTTAGTTAGATTCAGTACAGTTGGTCTGAAGGAGAGTGTCTTTCTTGTAGGGAAAAGCACACTAGTGGGTTTAGTATGGTGGGCACCACGTATGCACAACACTTTCAGGTGATTGGGGAAAAAACTAAGGATAATGGGATAAAATATAGAGAAAATAGTTGACAAATCAAAAGTAGTAAAATATTAACAGTTGGGGTACCTCAGTAAGGGATAAAATTAAGTATATTTGAAATTATTTCAAATCAATTATTTTAAAAATAAAGATAATTCATAGGCATTAAATTCCACAGTTTTAAAAATGAGGTTGGGTATTGCTAAATGTATTGTTATTGGTAAAACTTTATTACCTTTTCTCAAATAAAGATAATTTTGTACTTTACAAAAATTACTTTACTAGGAAAAACAGTAAGTAAAATTTAGATATTTTTAGATGTATAAATATCAAACCAATTCACCCATAGCAAACCTACACCTCTAAAAGTTAAAGGAAGTTCTTAATAAGGAAGGGAAATTATATCAGAGGAAAACACATGTACAAAAAGTAGTGTAAGCAGCAGAAATGACAATCATATAGGTTCACGATTAATCTACATTTTCTTTTCCTTTCTTATTTTCTATAAGAGACAATGAGCTCATGACAGCAAAAATAATAGAATTAATTGTAGGTAATAACATGTACAGAATAAAAATTTATGAAAACAATAGCATAAAGTGTCACAAGATATATGGAATTATACCACTGTAGGTTAAATATTCTGTGAAACGGTCAACAGTAGTTCAAATTAGAATATAATACTTAGGAAATCAGTTTTATAATGACTACAACAACCATTGAAAAGACGTTTTACCTAACACTATTAATTTTTTTTTTTTTTTTTGCAGGGAACGATTCACCCTGAGGTAACCTCTGTTGACAATCTTCCTCTTCATTTTTTTGCTCCCCCAAGCCCCAGTACATGGCTGGATATGCTAGTTGTAACTCATTCTAATTCTTCTATGTGAACCGCCATCACCGCATGGCACCTGATAGACAGGTAGTGTGGTTCCACAGCCGGGAAGCGAACCCGGGCTGCTGAAGCAGTGAGAGTTCTGTACTTTAACCACTAGGTCAACAGGACTGGCTCAACACTTTTAATTTTAAACATATAATATTACAAATACCAGACTTTATCAAAAGAAGGCAAAAGGAAAAACAAATAGAGAAAAAAGCAAATAGGACAAAGAGGAAACAAAATCTCCCCTGTCTGTGTTTTGATGATGAAAACTAAACATCCAAGTGACAAATACCAAGATGCAGGTCTACACTCTCCTTAATATGATGTCTTCCATCCAATCAAATTTGCTGAGGGTCAACCATTTAAAGAAAATCCATATTTAAAGGCAAAGCAACCATTGGACAACATTCTGTGTAACACTACAGCATAATAGAGAAATATGAGTGTAATAAAGACATAAAATAGTGTAAAAAAAAAACACATTCTCTATCAGCCAGGTTTCTTATCTTCATCTATGAAATAAAATCTCCAACCACTCTGCAGTAATATTGTCTAGACCAACATTGGATTATGTGCCAATGTATGTCAGGTGTTAGCCACATCCACATTGAGATAAAATTTGTGGAAACACTCCTGTAGAATGGAGATTATTTGAGACAGCTGCACTGGTCAAGTGGGAAAATGGTTTTCTCAACACTTTTATGTCTCTTTTTTGAGCTGATAACTTGATGGATTGACTTTCATATCTCCCAGTGCAGCACCAGTATCAAATTGATCTCCTAAGTTCATAGGATTTTATGTAAAAAATTGGTACTGAGTACAAATGTCAAAAGGTACAAACTTTCAGTTATAAAACAAATAAGTCATAGGGATGTAACATACAACATGGTGAGTATAGTGAATATTACACTTTCAAATATGAAAGTTGCAAAGAGAGTAAGTCTTAAAAGACTTTGTCACAAGAAAAAAAATTTTTTAGCTATATATGGTCATGTACATTAGCTAGACTTACTGTGGTGATCATTTTGCAATATATACAAATATCAAATTATTATGTTGTACCCCTGAAACTAATATGATAGAGTAATTATGGTTATTACTGAAGCTGTCTTCTACATATTTAGCACTTCAACTGTATTTTCTAACAATTTAATAGCAGAACTTAGGGGTTCTAGGATCCCTCAGGATCAGCATGAAGGGGCAAACGGAGGGAAAACATAAGGCCAAAACATTAGAAGTCTGCATCAACCATAGTTAAAAATCTAAAAAGGCAGTGATGTAAAAAGCAAAAATGGAATTCAGCATTAGAAGATGACAAAAGTGACCACCAGCATCAGGATGGTGTGGACGGCTCTGATCTCTGGGGGGCATCTGTGGTAGCCATTGGGGGTGTGAACATGCTGCACTCTCTGGTGGTGTCTGTACAGGAGAAGCACCATGGAACCACTGGACCAGCCCATGAAGCCAATGAACACGGCATCAGAGATGGACCACAAGATGACAATGCTTGCAGTAGAACTTGAGGTGGAACAGAATTACTTCCCTTGGGAGTCAGTATTATTTCCTGTGTCCTGAGGACCAGTGATTTTCATGGGAATATAGATATTCATTAAGAAACTAAATATCCAGCAGGTACAACAGGAAGAAACAATGACCTTGGGGGCTCTTCTTCTGAGCATCACCCACTCCACTCTCTCAGGGATGAGAGTGAAGAACTGATAGGTGCTCAGGACACAGGTGGAGCATAGGGTGGTGCTGCGAGCAACTGTTTATATAATATGCAAATCTACACCCAAAAGTGGATAGAGGGTTCCTCAAAACAAAAGCTGCCATTGTATGGGGAATCCCAGAAGAGAGAATAACCAAGAGATTGGCCACAGCCATGTGTGTGAGAATTTCCTCTGTGGACCTCTGTCTGTGACCAAGCAAGATTGGAGAGACATTATGGAAGAAGAGAATGACATTGGCCAGAACCCCAAGCCCCACCTGGAAAGGAAGGATGGTGTTTGCAGCCAATTCCCCTATGGTTTTTAGAACATCTTTCTGAAAAGACATGGACATGGCTTCAGAGTGGCCTGGAGCAAAAGTTTATGCCTGTGATGACATCAACCATCTTCTTATGAAACCAACATTGGAAAAGGATTCTCTCCCTTTCTTCTCCTGAGAAGTGAGATGCTGTGATACTCCACTGGAGAGGCTCAACCTGGAGAACATACACCTGACAATAATTGTACTTTTCACCATTGTTATTTCGTATTTATTTCTATTTCATTTTATATTCTGATTCTCCATCAGAATGTAAGGTCCATGAACTTAGGAACCATGTCTGTCTTATTCAACAATGTGGTTGACACAGAATAAGTGTTAAATAATACATACTGAGCATATAAGTAAATGACAGGACAAAGATAAAAAAGCACTGTACCTCCTTTGGTATTCCTGGTCATTCTGCCTATTATAAGAACGTATTGAATGGCATCACTAAGATGGTGACATAGGAGGCTCCTGACTTTCCTTCCTCCCATGGACATACTGAATATACCTACATGGGTATCAACTTCCTGTGAGAGATATCCAGAAGCTATTTGACTGACTTGTACACATCAGGAGTCTGAGAAAATACCCACATTGAAATGGATAGGAAAGGCTGAGGCACATTCTCACCATGATCCCCATCCGGAGTACAGAACCTTACAATCAAGATAAAACTCCCAACTCCCTGCTTCAACAGGAGATGTGAGGACTTGTGTCACACATATAGCACCCCAACCTTTAAGGCTGCCACCAGAGGACCAGCCCCCAAATCACCTAGCTCTGAGAGCGAATGGGAATTGACATTCATGAGTCCCACAGGATTGTAGGAAATAAAAAGTAGTGGTCAAATGGGCCTTCTGGCACTCCCCATGGCTGTACCTCCAGTCTCAATGCAGAGGGAACAGGCAAAAACCCTAATCACCTAGTTTATCCCTAGAAGGAGTTTGACTACATACTTTACCAGCTTATGACCAATAGTCTGGTTTCTAATCAGCCTGCATCTATCTACTGAGTTGGATGCTCCCAGGAGCCTAAAAGATCAAGTGGGCACTTTCCCCAAATTCTCCCTCTGGCTCAGTATAAAAATAAAATCAAGTTTACAGCTTCTCTCTGGAAGGAGCTTGTCCACACGTCTAACGCCCCAGTCTTTGCAGCTTCCACCCAAGGGATGGGCCTTCATCCCATCACCCAGCCCCAACACTCAGCGGCACTCAGCATTCATGAGTCCCACAGGACCATATCAAGCAAAAAAAGCAGTTTTCACAGTCACACATAGACTAAAAGTGAAGAGATGGAATAAAAGATATTCCATGCAAATGGAAATAAAAAGAGAGTAGGGATAGCTGTACTTATATCAGACAAAATAGACTAAACCAAAAACTGTAACAAGAGACAGGAAGGTTATTATATAATGATAAAGGGGTCAATACATCAAGAGGATAGTATAATTGTAAATATTTATAAACCCAACATTGTAGCCCCTAAATATATTAAGCAAATATTAACAAATCTCAAGGGAGAAATAGACAGTATACAACAATAATAAGGGACAGTAATAGCACACTTTCAGCAAGGGATAGATCAGACACAAAATCAACAAGGAATCATTGGACTTAAACTACAGCTTAGACCAGATGGACTTAGTAGACATATGCAGATGGTTCCATCCAACAGCAGCAGAATACACATTCTTCTGAAGCACATGTGGACCCTTCTCCAGAATAGATCATATGTTAGGCCACAAAACAAGTCTTAACACACGTAAGAAGATTGAATTCAGTCTTGAATTCACATTTAAGAAGAATGAATTCCTATCAGTCATCTGTTCTGACCACAGTGGTATGAAACTGGAAATCAATTGTAAGAGGAAAACTGGAAAATTCACTAACATGTGGAGAACAAACAACATGCTCTTGAACAGCCAATGAGTCAAGAAGAAATCAAAAGGAAAATTAAAATATCTTGAGATAAATGAAAATGGAAACACAGCATATCAAAACTTATGAGATTTGGTAGAAGGTTCTAGAGGGAAGTTTATAGCAATAAGCATCTACATTAACAAAAAAGAAAAATATCAAATAAACTAAACTTTACACCTCAAGGAACTATCAAGAAGAAGAAACTAATCTCAAAATTAGTAAAAGGAAAGAAATAAGAAGGATCAGAGCAAAAATAAATGAAATACAGACTAGGAATAAAAGAGAAAGGATCAATGAAACTAAAAGCCAGTTTTTTGAAAAGAGAAACTAAATTGAAAAAACTAACTGGATTAAGAAAATAAAAGAGAAGACTCAAATAAATAAAATCAGGAACAAAAGAAGAGACATTACAAATGATACCCCAGAAACACTAAGGGTCATAAGAAACTACTATAAACAATAATACACCAACAAATTAGAAAACCTAGAAAAAATGGATAATTTCCTAGAACCTACCAAGACTGAATCATGAAGAAATAGAAAATCTGAACTCACCAGTTACTAGTAAAGAGACTGAATCAGTAACAAATACATCCTGACAAATAAAAGTCCCAAGACTAGATGGCTTTACTGGTGATTCTACCAAACGTTTACAGAAGAATTAATACCAATCCTTATGGCCACTTCTGATAGCGACATGGAAGCAAATATACTGTTGAAATTATGAGCTTATCTAACTAATTTTCATACAATTGCGCGAGAATCTCTTGTCCATATTTGAGAACTCATAAAGTAATTCTTCAGAGTTGCTGGATACAAAATTCCTTTTAAAGAACCAGCCGTGCTCTGAATACCAAGTCGACTGTACGATGTACTGAGATGTTCTATTCTTTATAGGAAAGATCCCCCGGGAGCAACGTAGTCTAAATCTCAATAATTCCCCAGACCTTAACTCACAAGACTTTGAGGTCAGGTCCCGGACAGCTTCTCCTGAGCAGTCTCCTGCCCTCAGTCCACACAAAAAATTAAACACCCTGCTCATTAGACTGTATGCTCAGACAGATTGTTTTTATTCTTTGTTACATCTGAGTGCCCACAGTTTGTCTGACACTTTGCTTCCTTCTGAATTTTACGAATAAGCATCAGTCTAGTTCCCTCAGCTCAAAGTAACCCACAGCCCACGTAGGCGTCCTATTAAAATAAGGTTTGGGGGCCGACCCGGTGGCTCAAGAGATTAAGTGCGCGAGCTCCGCTGCAGCGGCCCAGGGTTCGCTGGTTCAGATCCCAGGCGCGCACTAACGCACCGCTTGTCAAGCCATGCTGTGGCAGGTGTCCCATATAAAGTAGAGGAAGATGGGCACGGATGTTAGCCCAGGGCCAGTCTCCCTCAGTATAAAAAGAGGAGGATTGGCATCGAATGTTAGCTCAGGGCTGATCTTCCTCACAATAAGTAAATAAATAAATAAAGTTTGATCAGGCCCTTGTGAGTGAAGAAGAGGGTTTTGTGGAATACAAAGCAAATATTGACTTACTGTAGTATAAGATGTGCATTCCTCGTAGGCAAAATAATCCTTAATTAAATCATAGGATTCAGAAGCCATTGTCAGGTACAGAATGGATATATGAATTGGAAACCAAAGTCCAAAGTTACAAATACAACTTTTTCTCTACTCACTAAATGAGCCACCCTAACTTTATTTCCATTGAAAGCATAAGAAACACATTTCTGCTTCACACAGGAATCCGTATTCTTCTCTCTTCATGGAATTCCCACCACTTCACCTGCTTGCTCCTTCTCACACCCCAGCTCCACTTGAATGTCAGCTGCTCACAGACACCTTAAATCACCCTCATTCACCAGATTTCATTCCCTTCCTTCATCTGAAAAGGAAATTCATACCTTTTGTTTGTTTCTTCCTCCTCATCTTCTCTCTTCCTAATACATTGAAAGCTACATGAGGACAAAGAAGTGATCTCATCATCAGCTGATAGATCCTCAGTCTGTTATCACGTCTGGCACAGTGAGCTCCTGTGAGCATCACCCACTGCTACACCTTCACCATCGCCAACCACAGTAAACATGTTGCTATGGATGGAGCTGGGGATGGTGCCCTTCCCTCTATTTCTATGTGTCCCTGGAGTCCAAAACACTCGCTCACCAATATTCACTTTAATGGTTCCATATCCAAAGTCAATAAAATTATGGAAAAAGTGTACCTGGTGCCAATGTGTGTTTGTGTGATTGCACCTGTGTGTGTGTATGACTGTGTGCGTGCATGTGCTTGTAGGAACAGGTCCTCACATATTTTGTCATCTGAGCCCACATATCATTGTGGGCTGAAATGATGTCACGAGTGTCCTCTTTGAAAGTCCCACCCTCTCCGTCATCTATTTCACACAGCTATCCCTCCCTGAGGAGGGAACAGGCAAAAACTTACTTTGATGAACCTGTACTATGAGACAGGCACTATGAGAAATTGTAACTATTCTGATCTCTCCTTTGAGTAACAATTACCCATATAAGGGCGTGGTTCTCCAGTTTGTTAAGCTTTACGCTAGCCCCAGAGAACCTTGTTTATTGGCAAAAGAGCTGATATGATTCTCATAGTTCATACATTCTCATATGACCCCCCTAGAACCACACCCAGTGCTCCCTAAATCACAACTTCAGTGGCTCCTAGTGCATGCAGGTCCCCTCATCCCCTTGAACCACTCCTCCCACAAACATGGCCTATGGCCTCCTTCATATGGGGCTGAAGGTTTACTGAGGTGGGTGATATGGTCAGACCTACAGGTTGTACATTCCATGGGGCACACAGAGATCAACCCCACAGGTGAGGTGCCTCCCTTATACCAACAATCATCAGGCAGAATGCACAAGGACACACTTTCCCCCACAGAGAGGATGACCACCAGCCCCACACAGTCAAACATGGGGGCACCACCACACCCAGAGTCAGAAGCCAAACCACAGAAACTGCTCTGTGCTGTCACAGGAATGCACATCCCAGTGCCTGTCACCCCTCAGGAACCTCTCTTCACCAACAGGCATGGAGGGACCACCCAGGACAGGTCACTCTCCATGCATTTGGACAAGCTGGTGAAAAACCTTGGGAAAAAAGGAGACCAGAAGCCCTATTTTCCAACCAGTCTTCTGATGACTCAGCTCTGCTTTCACTAAACAAAACTGAGAGGCAGTTGTGTCTGCCTCGTGCCTAAGCACTTGTTGCTCCCCTGGCTTCCTCGTACCTTCTAGGGCTTTGTAACTGCTGTGACTGAAAATGCATACAATACAGGGGAAGGAGCCAGAATTAATTCTGATGCTAAAACAGCAGAGGAGTGTGTCACTCATCACAGGTGAGCACAGAGATCAGAGCTGGTTTGTAGACCTCCTGGGAGAGAAGGAGAAAGACCAGCTAACACAATTCATCGTGTGCCCACGGCGACAAAGGAGTCGGAATAGGACCTGGATGGAGGGTACAGTGAGAGTTGGGGAAGGTGGAAGGACTTTGTTTCCCGTGTAGAATCACTAAACCTTCTCTCAGAAATTGCCTCTGATGGCATCTTGATCCCAGCCATTACTACTTTTCGGAGTCTTTTTCAATTTTGGCCTGTCTTAGCCTGTCCTGGCTGCTATAAAAAATATCACTGACGTGGCTTATTAACAAAAGAAATTTATTGCTTACATTTCTGGAGGCTGGAAGTCCAGGATTAAGGCTGCAGTATGGTCACTTTCCGGGGAGGACCCCCTTCCTGGTTTATGGCCAAAACCTTCTCACTGTCCTCAAGTGGTGGAAAGGGGCAAGGGATCTCTTTGAATCCTGTTTTACACACACTTACCCCATTCAGGAGGGCTCCACCCTCATGACCTCAGCATCTCCTAAAGGCCCATCTTTTAATTGTTTTTGGGGGTTACAGATTCGAAGTAGGAATTTTGTGGGGACACAGACATTCTGATCATAGCTTGGCCCAATGTACATTCCATCGTACTTCCAAATGTAAAATGCACTATTGAATTACCACAGAGGGTATTGTTTTAATTCATAATTCCAATAAAAAAATGTGTACAATGGGGGCCGGCCCGGTGGCGCAAGCTGTTAAGTGCGCGCACTCCGCTGCGGCGGCCCGGGGTTCGCAGGTTCGGATCCCGGGCGCGCACCGACTCACCGCTTGTCGAGCCATGCTGTGGCGGCATCCCATATAAAGTAGAGGAAGATGAGCATGGATGTTAGTCCAGGGCCAGTCTTCCTCAGTAAAAAAAGAGCAGGATTGGCAGATGTTAGCTCAGGGCTGATCTGCCTCACACACACACAAAATGTGTACAATGCTTATTTTCCAACATCCACACCGTTTTGGCAGACATGAAAATTAACAGGACTACATGTCACTACAAATTCTTTTTTCTCTCCCCTGCTGCCTCAGGTTAAGGATGGACAGAGGGCTGTTTTTCCACTCAAATAGATAAAATTCTGAGCATCACTTACACTCACAACACAAACAACACACAGAAGACTGACACACAATATCTTGGCAGAAATTATGGAGATGACTGCATCCTAATGAAGTGGGATTTGAAAAAGGAAAAATGTGTATGTCCTTAGAGGGCAGACTTTTTCTCTCTGTGTATCACTGTTTGTACATGGGTGTTTCTCTGTCACTGGATCTTATTTCATGTTTCAGGATTTTTAAGTCTCAGCCCAAATTCTGCAAGCCAATTTGTCCTGCTATATTCACAATGAACCCCAGTCTGTTAGGTCTGAGAAAATGGGTAGACTCCTGTGTACATGGTTGAGGAGCTTAGTGGCTCTGGACTTACAAGGCTAGGCACAGATTCCAAGGGGAACTGTCCCTCTTTCTCTCTTCGTCAGGGACTCCAGGGCACAAGGATTTTCAGCGAACTTCATGACACTAGTCCCTCTCTGAAACACACCCCAACACATTCCCACCTTCCACCTGCCCAGCCAGGGCATGAGTGGGCAGCTCTGGACAAGGCGGGATCAGCGCCTGTCCTGCCCAATGTTAGTGCACCACCACAGCTCTGACTTCCTCTCCTGCTGGAGACCCCTCCCTCCTGTTCTCTGCCCTGAGACTGAACAAAAGGAAGCACTCACCTGGCTGGTCTTTGCTCCAGAGCTCTGTGCAGGGAAATGTCAATCAGGATGGGCCATAGTTATAGAGACAGGGTTCCTGGACCTGCTCTCCCCGCAGAGGTGCCATTATCATGTCACCTGCAGTATGGGTGACGCTGTCTGCATGGAGAATCTGGGGCATCTCCAATGAGGAGCAAATCTTATCCCCTGTGCAAATCACCTTCAGCCACTTCTGGTGATTAGTGGAAACTCTTGATGATTATTGAGAAGATCTCCATGAGCAGCTGAGCAGAAGGCAGAGAAAGTTTTCTATGTTCCCTGTGGGAGAAGAAGTTCAGAGTGAAAGTTGTTATTGGGAGTGGCATGGACACTGCAAGTGCTCCCTGTGTCCCTAGGTGCACACACTGTTCCTGGCATTCTGTTAGCTTTAGACAGCACTTGCTGACCTCATAACTTACCGAAGTCTGAGACCTCGCTTTCTTATATCTGCCTTTTGTAGAAATTGAAAAGAAAAACACTTCCCATAAGGCTGAGCTCACCTGTCCTCCCCTAGGTCCTCTTCTGGCCTCCAGCTGCTTGTCCTGACAACTCAGTTCTGGAGTGAGATCCACCTACAGGGGCTTTTATTAGACAGGGCCCCTCCTCCCACCTCACTTGTATCCCACCTCTCTAACATAGTCAGATATTGATTTAATTTCTACATTAGTGAGATTTTTCTCAGTCATAGAGAGGTTAACACAGACAAAGAGGATAGTTGGATCTTGAGAGTGTCATTTTTAAACTAATATGTAAAAAACATCACCATATTATCACTCTAGTTTAGATCCTGAATGTTATGTCTGTTGATGATAAGAATTGAATTTAGGATTGAAATTTAAAAAAAAACAAATTGTCATCACTGTTAGTCCTTATAAAAGGAATGAGACCAATTTCAAGTAGTTTTTGATCATGAAAGTAAAACCTCCCATTTTGATGAAGAAAATCAATTAAACCTTCTCGGAAGTCTGTCCTAATATCACACTCACTAGACCATAGTCACTTCTTCAAGAGTGTTTTCTCCACAAATGTGATGATCTTTGCTCAGAAGTTGGTAAATAAATCTCAAAAATGTCCTCTGACAATCATTCAGCCTGTGAAGGTCCTGGTTTTGGTTAGCTACAGGATCAAAGATAAAATATATTTTTATAATATTACCATTTCCTTTATGTCACAACATATGTAAAATGAGATAAATTTCTTTTAAAACATGTTCAAAAATGTTTCTCATGGTTTTAGATGACTCATTGGTGAACACAGTCTAGGGAGTGGAATAAAAAATTAGGAGATGGTGGGGATTGGTGTGAGGTGGAAGGAGTGAGATTTGACTTAGGTGATTATGTTAAATAGGCTTCCATTTAATCGTTCCACAGCCATCCTTTGTGCTGTTTGCTGGATACTCCTGTCCTTTCACATCCAAGCAGATTCTCATTCCCAGCTCTCAAGTCCTTTTGTCTCATTAAGGTTAATTGAAACAGCACACATATAGTTGTATGGCATTTTTATTTCTTATTATTCTAATAAACTTTAAAATAATTTATTTTACAAGTTCTTCTAGAAGGTGTTCACATTTCTGGCAGTAGGTATTCTCCTGTTTGTGGTTTCACTGATTCTTGCTCATGAAGGATTGATTCATATTGAGTTTTCCATTTGTTTGTTGTGAGCTGATCATGGGCAGCGCTTACGTTCTCTTTGAGAACACCAGGTGACTCCTGTGGTGGAAAAAGCCAACTCCTGTGGTTTGATCTGCCTCTATTGG